TGTCTGTCTGTCTGTCTGTCTGTCTCTGTCTGTCTGTCTGTCTGTGTCATCTATCTGTCTATCTGTCTGTCTCATCTATCTGTCTGTCTGTCTCTGTCATCTATCTGTCTGTCTGTCTCTGCCATCTATCTGTCTGTCTGTCATCTATCTGTCTGTCTGTCTCTGTCATCTATCTGTCTGTCTTCTATCTATCTGTCTATCTATCTGTCTGTCTGTCTCTGTCATCTGTCTGTCTCTGTCATCTATCTGTCTGTCTGTCTGTATCTGTCATCTGTCTGTCTTTCTCTGTCATCTATCTGTCTGTCTGTCTGTCTCTGTCATCTATCTGTCTTTCTGTCTGTCTGTGTCGTCTGTGTCTGTCTCTGTCATCTATCTGTCTGTCTGTATCTGTCATCTATCTGTCTGTCTGTCTCTGTCATCTGTCTGTCTGTCTCTGTCATCTATCTGTCTGTCTGTCTGTCATCTATCTATCTGTCTATCTATCTGTCTGTCTGTCTGTCTATATATCTTGTGTTATCTATCTATCTATCTTTGTCATTTATCTGTTCTTTTGTCTGTCTGTCATCCATCCATCCATTCATTCATCTTGTTTAAACTGACATGAATTCATATATCTCTCTAGCCAGCTTATCAAAATCTGCGACAGAAGGTGGACAACTTTGTGTCCAATCATCTCAGTACTCAAGAATGGAATCCGTCCATCAACAAGAACCAAGTGAGGAATGTCTTGAGAAAAAACGTAGTTCAGTATGTATGACTCTTAATGTTTTTGTATACTTTATTGTGTTGTGCAGTGCTGTACTGTAAATCTGAACGGTCAGTTTTGTTTTAAAGGGGTCCTATGATGCGATTTCAATCTTTCCTTTCTCTTTGGAGTGTTACAAGCTCTTGGTGCTTAAAGAAGATCTGTAAAGTTGCAAAGACTAAAGTCTCAAATCCAAAGAGATATTCTTTATAAAAGTTAAGAGTCAGCCACGCCTACCTAAAACGGCTCGTTCTAACACGCCCCCACATGTCTACGTCACTATGTGGGAAGATTTGCATAATGCCGCTCAAATGTTCACGCAAAGAAAGAAGGCGTAACTTTTATTCTCGCTGTAGTATTGTTGCCGCCGCCATGCGTGAAGACGCTGTGTGCTTCGTTGTGAAAGCGAAACTACTTTGTTTGGTCTTCCAAAAGAGGACGATATCCGCTTCGTCATGCCTGGAGCTGATCCGTGCTGGTCGCTGAGGAAATACTTCCAACTTCGCACTGTCGATCGCCGGATCGGCTTTCACCGTGGACGAAGCGGAGTCCAGCCCGGGGTCGTCACATGTGGTTGCCGCAGGCATGACATATGAATATGGTAAGGGACGTAACATTTCCGTCACACGCTTGAGGAATTCGGCCAATAACAACGCACTGGCTAGCTGGCCAATCAGAGCACACCTCACTTTTTCAGCTTTGTAAAAATCGACGCGTTTCAGAAAGGCGGGGCATAGAGGAGAATCAATAATGTACAGTATGTGGAAAATAATGTGTTTTTTTAACTTTAAACCGCATAGACACATTTCATTACACCAAATACACCAAATAATGTTATTTTTAGCAGCATCATATGACCCCTTTAAATGTTTTGAATTACATAGACTGGGCCTTTTTGGCAAAGTGTAAAATGTGTGATGTTTTAGAGCGCTCATGTTAACGGAAAGGTAGCTAATGCATCACATGAGTGTATTAAATAAAATAGTTTAGTTTCCACTTTTATTGAAAACACTTACTTGTCCTCACAGGTCAGGGATGTTGGAGTCAGGAGTAGACCGTATCATTACTCAGGTGGTGGACCCTAAACTGAACCATATCTTCAGGCCACACATCGAGAACGCCATTCATGATTTCCTAGCAGCAGAGAAGAAAGAAGAGGGCGCATCAAATTCAGCCTCTGATGCTGAACAACAGGAAGCAACTAGCAACACTGCAGCCAAAACACAATGAGGAACAATAAATGTATGCTAAGAAATGTTGGAATAAGATACTTATATCATCTCATATAGTAGTGGAATCAAACAAAAAAAATAGGTGCACCCCTAATATTGAAAGTTATGGTTGAGGGCAACTTGACAAAAACAATGTGTTTTTCCTGCACATGTAATATTTTGTCATTTTCCAGGTACAAGGATGCATTTTTTGCTGTCACATGAAGATCACCAAAAGTTGTCCCTCCGTGCCTGGCTAGAGTGGATGAAGAATTGCTGAGCACTGGAATATTGGAAGTTTGGACTAATTTAAGGTGGTTGGATAGATTTATTATTATTTTAATTGTATTTCTTTGACAGTATGTGTGTGTTTAGCATGTTACATAACAGCAGGTTGTCCAGCCCATGCCTTTGATGTCTGGTTTAGCTCTTTCAGCACTAAAGAACAACCGAAGCTGATTTATCCAAATTAAAATAAATGCATCTCAAAATAACATTGATATGAAGTACCTAGTTCTTATTTGGATTGAAGCCAGACTGAAATGACCCTTTTTACACAGCTGGATTTATGAAATGCTTCTCGTTTTTTTTTCTGGCGATATTCTAATGTGATTCATAGCAACGTTTGTACAATAAATGTAACTTTTTAACAAAAGCCAAGTTGGTTGCATCATTTCTGCTATTGTAAAGCCTGCTATTGTAATTATTACAAGAGATTACGATTTGTTGTGGGAAACATGCTACATAATGACATACTCCTGGACTCCTTTTAGCAATGGCATTTTTGACAGGAGGTCATCACCAGAATTTTTATGATTCCATCTGGACATTAACTAGAGAGAGTACCCCTCAAAAGTTCACCATGTTCCCTACCATGCAGACACAGTGTTATGTGATTGAAACCATTTGGGGCTAAAAGCTGCCTTTAAATCTCCAGTGTCCTCATGGCATGAACTTCCAGAGAAGAACATTTTAGTTACAGAAGAGCCTCTGGAGAGGTGTCATGTCCCGGCTTAGGACAAAGGGCGACTGCTCCAGCTTGTTTGTGTCTTTCAGCACCTCTGCTCTGAGAATGTGCTGCACAGTCAGATGCTCGGTCGGATTGCTAAAGAGCTTTGGTCACGTGTCTTTTGACATTCGCTGCTTGTTGTAGCTCTTTGCAGTAGGTGGTGGATCCATATTCTTGAGGCAGTGTTTTACAATTGTGCAGCTGCAGATATTCAAAACTAGTTATGATTCTGTTGTAAATATGGTCGGAAATGGGATGCACAATACGTTGTTGGTAATGTCACATCCACAGACTGGATTCCCATTTGTTGTGCTTGATGGCAAAATGTTCTCCATTCCCCAGGTGCACGCTCATATTTCCAGCGCCGGTCTTGGCAGTGTTACTGCAGACTCTGTCCTGAACCCTGCGTCCACTCATGCCTATTTGCTGTAGTTCCTCCCCATCTGATGAAACCTGATCCTGCTCTCATTTGAAAGCAACAATGGGAATTGAGGGACTCTGCCGAGCTGTCAGCAAGCTCCTAGTGGAACATACCAACCTTCCAAACCCATGTGTTCACTTTTACATTTTTGAGAATCGTAAGATTAAGGCCAGTAGGGGGTGTGGTTTTATTGTGTTTGATGATGTCCATCAATGAGGTAGTTTACTGAAGAAAAAAATAAATAAAATCATTTATTTGCCCCTATGTTTCTGTGGAACGTGAAAGGTGCCATTTTTGAAGCATATTCTGGCTGCTTTTTTTCCATTCAATGAAAGTCAGTGGAGTCTGGGGCTGTCAAGTTCCAAAATGAAAGAAAATACCATTAAAGGGGTCATATGATTTTGCTAAAAAGAACATTTATTTTGTGTATTTGGTGTAATGATATGTTTATGCGGTTTAAGGTTAAAAAATACATTATTTTCCACATACTGTACATTATTGTTTCTCCTCTATGCCCCGCCTTTCTGAAACGCGTCGATTTTTACAAAGCTCATCGGTCTGAAAAGCGAGGTGTGCTCTGATTGGCCAGCTATCCAGTGCGTTGTGATTGGCCAAATACCTCAAGCGTGTGACGGAAATGTTACGTCCCTTACCGTATTGTGACGCAGTGTCCTGACCGGAGCGACGAGACAAAAACATTAAAACCCATTATAAACGAGGCATTTGTTGCATCAAGTGGGGACATAATTACGGATTATAATGACTTATACTGTCTTTTTACGCATTGCATTGTGCCACGTAAACATAAAACCATGTCTGCATTTGTGATCGGAGAAATGACAAACAACAAGCACTACTCTACACTGCTCAAAACTCGCGTTTGAATCATCAGTGGCAAATTCTTTAAATATTTAAACGTACTTACAGTCTGGGAGTCAGAACAGCCGGCATTGTAGTCTACTCTACCAGGATCAGGAAACAGTAATACATAAAATGCGCTGCACACATCTGAATATTTGGGTTGAACTGTTCTGGAGCAGTGTTGTAAATACAACTTAACCACTGATTTCTAGTCGTGTCCTCTTTTGGAAGGCCAAAAAAAGTAGTTTCGCTTTCACAACGAAACACACAGCGTCACACACGGCGGGCTTGTGGCATCCACATGTGATGACCCCGGGCTGGACTCCGCTTCGTCCACAGTGAAAGCTGGCGATCCACAGCGCGAAGTTGATGTATTTCCTCAGCAACCAGCACGGATCAGCTCTAGGCATGACGAAGTGGATATTGTCCTCTTTTGGAAGGTCAAACAAAGTAGTTTCGCTTTCACAACGAAACACACAGCTCACGACATGGCGGCAGCAACAATACTACAGCAAGAATAAAAGTTACGCCTTCTTTCTTTGCGTGAACATTTGGGTGGCGTTATGCAAATCTTCCCACATCGTGATGTAGACATGTGGGGCTTGTTAGAACTTCATTAGAACTCATGTCTTATGAAGTCATACAGTAGTTTTATGGGATTAAATGTATTCACTGAAACTAATCTCCGAACAAAGTTGTGGACTGCAAAAATTGCAAACACTGACAACATCTCGGATGCAAAACACCATTTGTTCTTGCTTGCTTCATAGCCAAAAATTGTGATATTTGGTTTGAGATCTGTGACATAGGCTACCTAAATTTGGGGTTTGGGGGGTCTGACCCCCCTAAAGAAGGCTTTAACCCCCCCCGGATGGACGTCAAAACTAGATGTAGGGGGGGTCAGATAGAAAGAAGGCTAGCCTACACATAATATGGAGATTTACTTGTAAATACTAATATGCATTTCTTTAGCCATAACTGATTTTAAAATATAATTTTGGCAGCTCCTGAAATGGGTCGTATTGACAGTACCTGAGCGGTTGAAGAAACAGTGCTCGTTCAAAGACGTGCATTCATTGCTTGGACGGAGCAAGAGCACGTGTAGATTCAGTCGAGTGATAAAGTTGACCCTCTTCAACTTAATGCTGCTGAACTGAATTAATGGAGCAAACTATTTGCTAAAATATAAATAACATTAACAGCACCGCTGAAATACAAGCGAAATACACTGTGCTTTCTTTCAGAATCATCATTGGCTGGTAGAAAGACAAACATATGTTACATATAAGTTTTTACCTAAAAATGAAGATAAGGTAAAGGTGTGAATAATTACATTTTAGACACATTGTCAGTAATTTCACCAATAAAAATAAAGCCCTAGGAGAACTGTTGTGCGTCTCAGATCAACACACAGCAGTGTTTCATTAATGAATCCACGTTTTTATATTAATCGAGTGAATCAATGATTCAGTGAACCATTCATAAAGGCAGTCACTTGCTTCGTTTCTGAATGAATCAGCCATTTGCACGAATCGATTGAATGAATGATTGAATGACTCACTTAAGACAGAGATTTGCCGCCACCTACTGGTGCATTTAGTTATTCAGAGTATCGTTTCTTTTTCAAATAATTCATATTTCACTATTTATTAGTATTTTTATGTTGAATTAAAATATTTCTAAAGCTACTTATATTTCAGCTACCTTTTTGTAATGTCTATTCAGTGTTTTTTTTCTAAATTAACACAATGATAACTATTATCTTTAATAATAACTTTCTTTAATCGGCACATGATGTACATGTTAATTAATTAATCTCATTAATTTGAGATTCATTTGATTAATCAATCGGCACATTATGTAATTATTTTTTAAATAATCACTTGACAGCCCTATTTAAAACATAAAAAATACACCCCACCCCACAATGGTCACTGCGTAATTCGCACCCTGTATATACCCCACTTAACAAAGTGTAATTGTATTCGTTTATTATTTTACCCTTTCTATTGTATACCTAAGGACGAATTTTGAAGATCCAGCTATGTTAGCAGCTCTTGTGTTATTCCAAGAATTATGTGTAGATTACTGTGCAGATGAATTACGGTCTCCGATTTCATTCCCCATCAGCTCTCAAAGTGTCGAAAGAAGTTGTCCAATGTTGAAAACTTGCACCGTGTGAGGAAACAAGTGACACAGCACTTTTGGCCTCGGATATGCGCCAATTAAATCCCGCTGTCCTTGGAGAGGGTCGGTAATGTAGTGTGAAATTGTATGTTTAGGGCATCGGTTGGGGGGACGTCTCAGCTGACATTGCATTTGTCTTCTGGACATTATAAATCACCAGAGTAATTACCGAGTGGGGACGGGAGGGAGAAAATCCAACCGCCCATCCACCCCCAACCTCTCCCGAAACACAGCTGCTGGTCGCTCTCGAGTTGGCCTTCCAAAGTTCAAGCCACAACAATGAAATCCCCATTCCTCAAAAAGTCCTGCTGCATCTGTTGAGTTTAATTGCTCTTCAAAATTTTCTCACCCCATGGTGGAGGAGATTCATTACAGTGGCAAACTAGATCAGCCCCATACTAACTTTTTCTGCCCAGATGTTGAGAAAGCCCAAGTGAATTGTCCCACTGAACAGGAAAGGTCATTTCCAATGCAGCTATTTGTAGGAAAAGAGCAGCACAGGAGTCAAACGTTGCTGAAGGTTGTCACCATGGCCTAAATAGTTTCCCAGGATGCTTCATTGTATAACATGTTAGTGTTACTGTACTCTAATTACACAGCTCTCTGGAAATCCCTGATTCTGATAGTTCAACGACGACACACGTGAGCAAGAACGCTGTTTCGATATTCAGACCAGCAATGTGATTGTGGATGTGTCCACTCTTGAGGCTCGAAACTGTAGGGCATGGCACTAGCAATGCCAAGGTCATGGGTTTGACTCCCACAATCAAACCCATGACCTTGAATGCAATGGAAAGGTACGGTCACATTCACAGTTCCATGTGTGATCCAGATTTCGCTCATGTTCAAGTTGAATTTGCACTGAACAACAGAAAACGATTAAAGTGTCTGCTAAAATGCATACATATAAATGCAACAGTTCAGGAAAGAAGCAACTCAAACTTTATAGACACAATATTTTTCTGCCACTGATGAAAATAGTTCAAAAACGAAGCACAATCAACCGTTGAGTCTCCTAGCAACACACAGAGTCAACACTTTGTTCCTGAATGAATCAGTGTTTTGAACAAATTGGTTGAGTGAATGATTCAGTGACTCACTCATAAAGATAGCTGTTTGATTAGTTTCTGAATTGTCAGT